GGGGCTCGAACCGAACGTGTGACCCCCCCAATGGATTGCTCTCCGAACGAGGAAACCATTGGTGGGGTCACACGTTCGGTTCGAGTCCTGTTTAGCGACTCTGGAGCTCAAAACGCGTCTAGAGTTTTGGCCGCCTCCACCGGCTTCTGGCCCACTGTGGGCGGCCTCGCCGGGGAAAGGCAGGGCGAGGCGCAGCGAGGCGAGGGCCACCGATCGGATGAATGAATTTTAAGATAGGCGGCGCCAGGGCCCTGCAGGGCGAGGTCGGCCACGGTGTCGCGCGACGAGAGGCAACTCACAAAGAAAAGGTGTCAATGTTCGAGGCGGCGGTGCACCGCGGTGAGGCGCCACTGTTTTCTCTTTCTCGGTTTTTCCTTCCGTTTGGCGGGAAGTGCAGGTGGCGGGAAACGCACGCGGCGCGAGGATGCGAGGGTTGCGCGGGAAGAGGAAGCGGGCACGCCGTCGCTCCGTCTCTCTCGCACCGATACGGCGCGCCCCGTGAGTGCGAGAGAGACAGAGCGACGAAAGCGACTCTGGCGCGTGATTGGCCCACGCAAGCGTGCGCGTGCCGCCGCGTGCCGCGAGCGTCGTGCGGTCCGGGGCTTCCAAGGCGAGCACGCGCGGCGCTTCATTTCCACCAAAGCGGACGATGGCGTCGTTAGATAACCCGACCTATTTATCCTTCGCTTTGCGCAATCCGTCATCATTATCATGATCCCGAGGGACTCATCCCGGAGCGGCCAGTGGAGTGACACGACTGTCCCTCTCGCGGTCTCGGCGGGGCTCCGTGCAGGTGCGAGGGAGATGGACGCAGGTCGACCTTCCACGACGAGTGACGTCAAGACGGGCGGCCCCTGTGGCTCGCCGGGCCCGGCGCACGTCAGGCGGGGATTAGGACCGACCGCGCGGGAAAAACGATCCCACACTGAAATGTGGCAAGGCGCTGTCACCACGCGGAACGCGCACTGTAAGTCCGAGGAATATCCTGCGCACAGTGGGTCAGAAGACCAGTGCAGGTGGTCAAAATCCCGGACGCGTTTTGAGCTCCAGAGTCGCTGAATGGGACTCGAACCGAACGTGTGACCCCACCAATGGATTCTTCGTTCGGAGAGCAATCCATTGGTGGGGTCACACGCTCGGTTCGAGTCAAATTTAGTGACTGGGGCTCAAAACGCGTCCGGGATTTGGACCGCCTCCACCCGTCTTCTGGCACACTGTGCGTGGGCGTGGCGGGGATAAGCGCAACTTGCAGTGCTGTCCGCGAGGGGGTAACCACTCGCGTAATACCCTGTACACCAAAACCCTGTATTACGCGTAATACACGTGATCGTAATACCATTTTTGGGTCAAATGTGCCAAATTTTTGGCATTTAAGGCCGTAATACACGTGTAATACACCGTAATACAGCGTAATACCGAGTAGTCTGTACACGATTTCTTGAAGTGTTTACCCCCTCGGCTGTCCGTCTGTCACACTCACGGCGCGACCCGCGGGGTCGCGAGAGAGACAGAGAAGCGACTGGTTGTTGCGGCCGCGGGTCGCGAAGACGCCTCGCCTCGCGCCGCTCTGCGGTTTCTTGGCGCCAAATTTTATGGCCGGGTCGCGGCTTGCTCGCGGGGGGCACCGCCAGGCAGGCAAAGGCAGGCCAAAGGCAGGCCAAAGGCCCACGCCCGTTAGCGGTGATGCAAGGGACCCGCGGCAAGCGGCCCGTGGCGTGGGCGTAGTCTGGCGGCGTCGTCCCGGGCGACACATTTCCGCGGCAACGCAGCGACGTCCGTCAACGACGTTACGGCCGAGCGGTTAGCGACGTCGCCGACGGGGTCGGAGGTCGCACGATCGAATCCGCAGTACTGGTACTTTTTTTTCGGGTTGAAGTGGTGGCTGTCAGAGTGGCGAGTGCATGGTTTCCCAGTCAGCGAGGGCGCGCTGCTCCGGCTTAGCGCGATGTCGTGGAGATAGCCCGGCCGCTGCCAGGCTACCCGGAATGTTTTCCCTAATATACTTTTCCGTCGCCAGCAGAAAATCGGGCGGCACGGCTCTCTCCTTCCATTCCGCGCCCTGGCCGCCCTGGCCGCAGCCGCTGACGTTTAGATTACTCGATAGACAGAAGTTCCTGCTCAACACGCGAAGCCGCCGAAGCCCAGCAGCGCCGCAAAGGAGCGAGGGGTAAGCCGTTGTCAGGGGAAAGACCGCAGCGCGCAGCGGACTCATTCCGAGAGTCGTTTTCGCCGCTCTGTCTCCCTCGCACCTGTACGGGACGCCCCATGAGTGCGAGAGAGACAGCGGCGAAAACGACTCTCGGAATCGGGCTGCTGAGCCCACGGTGCACATTCGGCGAACCGTTCGGCGCTGGCCGCCACCGCGTGCTTCGGTTTCCACGTGTCGACGCGCTGGGGAGCGATCGCTGTCGTCTCTCTCGCACTCGTGGGCCGGCCCCTGAGGGTGCGAGAGAGACAGCGACAGAGCGACGGCGAAGGGCCGGACGGACGGAGCGGCGCGCGACTGCACGAAATTTCTCGTGGCGGAGACCCCGTGCCGAGTACGAGTACGGTGTGTAAATCAAATCATGCTCGTAAATCCGATGCACTGCTAGAGAGAAGGAGAGTGGGGGGGGGGGAGACACTGCTTTCCGACAGAACGCAATTAAACACAACTGTTACGCCACCGGCGCACACAAACGTGCCGTGGATGACGGCGTTCATCGACTCGAATCGGTCATCACAGAAATTAAACAAACGCCTCGCTTGCTGGCTGCCCCGCCGGACCCAATAAACAACGGCCGGCGATAGGGATCGACCTCACGAGGCGCCTTACAGTGCACCGCACGCCCTCCGTCATCGCGACGTGCTTCACGGCCCGCACGAGCCAAACGCAAACAAAACGCCACTAAAACGGAGAGCACACAAAAAAAGGGGGAAAAAAAAGGAATGGAACACCTTTCTCCGCGGACAGTGGTAACGTTGCCCAACAGCGAATGGGATTAACGGTGACAATCAGCGACCGGTTTCATAACTTTTAGCGCGGCGGGGCGGCGGCTGCTGGCCCTGCCGGCGGATCGAAAGAAATAGCACCAGAAAATTAGAAGGCGATGAAAACGGCCGGGGCGGCGAGAGAAGCCGCGAAAAGAATTGGATTTGGCGCCCGTTCGCGGCGCGGGACCCCTGCCAGCGTGCGGGGCGCTGTCTCTCTCGCACCCCCGCGGAACGCCCCGTGTCCGAGAGAGAGAGAGAGAGAGAGAGAGAGAGGAGAGAGAGAGAGAGAGAGAAAGAGAGAGAGAGAGGCTGTTTGGAATCGGCACGCCGCGGCACGCGCTGAGCCGTGTTTGCATGTCAGACATTTTGTGAACAAATGTGCCTCGCGACATGCGGCGCACCGCGGCGAGGCACTCGATCGGCTTGTGCAACAGCACACTGATTCCCAGAGTCGTGCTGTCTCTCTCGCACCTACACTGGACGCCCCATGAGTGCGAGAGAGACAGAGCGACGAAAACGACTCTCGGAATCAGTCAGCAGGCTCGACTCTGCAAGGGCAGCGCGTCGAAACGCCGCACCGAGAGGGAAAAACTTTGCAAGTTGCGTGGTGGAATGCGGTGGTGTCGGGGACTCAAATAACTGAGCGCGTTTTGGGGATTTGCTTTCGCTCCCGCGCTCCTCGTAGTCGGCGTGCGTGAAAGGTTAGACTCTCTCGCTTCCGTCGCCCCTCTGCCCCATTCACGGTGGAGGGAGAAACGGTGGCGGCAGGGGGCTGCCCAGCGTGAAGCACGTTTGGGGCGAGATGGGGTTTTTCTCCCGCTCGCGAGATGGCGCGCGCGACGCTAGACGGCTGGCTCGAACACCCGCCCGGCCTACCTGCGGTCCGGGCCGCGCACCCTTCCCGCCGCTGGACAGGGGTCAGCTTAGCCCAGGGGTGCCTGGCCGAGAGGCGCGGGGGCCCGAACGGTGTTCGGGTGGACTCGGTCACCCGCTCGGCTGGACCCGACTCGTCAAACGCCGCCGGCCGTGGCGTGGCGGAGCGGCGGGGATTGCCCGGACACCGTCCCGGCTAAGCTGAGCCCTGTCCAGCGGGGGGAAGGGTGCGCGGCCCGGACCGCAGGTAGGCCGGACGGGTGTTCGAGCCAGCCGTCTAGCGTCGCGCGCGCCATCTCGCGAGCGGTAAAAAAACCCTATGTCCCCCCAAAACATGCTTCAGCGCAAGTACGGGCGGAGCGGGCCCCGTGCCGCCACCGTATCTCCCTCCACCGGGGCCCCATTCTTCGTGGACGCTGCGGACTAATTTCGTCGCTCTGTCTCTCTCGCACGCGCGGGGCGTCCCGAACAGGTGCGAGAGAGACAGAGCGACGTGAACGACTCTCGGAATCAGTCTGCAGGACTGCGCTGGACCGGCAGGGTCCCGCGGCGCGCTTCGTGAGCGGGACGCAGCCCATTCAGTAATCAGCAGTCCGATTGCACTTTTCGGGCCGACCCTACATAAATGTCCGAACCCCATTCTAGCCCAGATGGCACACCATCGTCCAGGTCAAGTGGACGATGGTGTGCCATCTGAGTAGCATGGATCAGGAGTCCGTTCCTCGATGTCCCGACCGCGGCAGGCCCCCCACCACTCTCAGCCGGCGCGGACCGCCCCCCACTCCCGCTCCCTGTCCGGGACATCCCTGCCTGGACTGTACTTGTCAGAAGTATGATGTGCGTTCGTCTCGGTTGCACGTACCGTTCCTCTCCGATGTACAAGAAATGTTCCTTTCGGTTGCGCAGAAAAAAGGGAAATGGTTCAAACGTTTAATTTTTTTAAAAATGCTTTTATTTAAATATGAGGTGATGTGACATACACTCATTATTACCTAACAGCTGTGACACAAATTCTTGGATTTTAGCTTCATTTTAAATTTGAGTTTTACAAATACAACAAATTAATCACTGATTCAAGCTAAAATAGAAAAGCATACTCAACAGTATTTTAAGTTAAATATCACACACAATGTTCAGTAGGTGCCAAAATCAACTCAGAACTGAACCAAAATCAAACGTAGTCCAAGTTTCTTCCCACATCTTAATCACTTGTCTGGAACAAAAAATAAATAAATAAGAATTAACAACAAATACACAAGCTAAGTAGGTTATGATAATATGAGAGTAAAGTGTACTTACATCATGTTAAAATGGCCCACAAAAGAAGATGTACTAAAGTTGTTGTCTTTTGGACTCTGTCTGAGCACAAAACAAAACAAATCTAGTGTGCAGTAGTTGGGACGAGCAACTAAAAAGTCATATTGTGGGTTCGAAACCTCTATCGTAGTCCAAATTTCATCCCACATCATAATTGCTGTCTGGAACAAGAAAAATAAAAAAAAATTAACAACAAATACACAAGCTAACTCAGTTATGGTAAAATAAGAGTAGAGTTAACTTACATGTCAACGTGGCCCACAAAAGAAGATGTACTCAAGTTTCAGACTTTTTGGGCACTATCAGAGTACAAAACGAAACAAATATAGTGTGAAGTAGCTGTGACGAGCAACTAAAAAGTCAAATCTGGAGTTCAGAATCTCAATCGTAGTCCAAGTTTCATCCCACATCTTGATTGCTTCTCTGGAACAAACAAAATAAAATAAAACTAACAACAAATATAGAAACCAACCAAGTAGCTATGACATGATGTTTACCTACATTAAATTGAGTTGCAGACTTTGAGAACAACTAAGAGACTAGAAGAATCATATTATTAAGTTCTGTTTCTGATGCCGATTCATTTTGAAAAGATGTAGGGCTCGGAATCATCATGAAGGCAAAGTTTCTCTGCCGTCTCTTCATGGTCCCTCTGAAACATGTGAAATAAAAAAAACAACTGATGAAATGGACAATGTATAAAAATTTTGGATGGATAGCATTGGTGTCTTCTCGCGTGCAATGAACGGTTCAAAGAAAGAAAAAGGGACTTTGTAGGCTGTATGTACATTTGAGTCCATAACCTCAGAACTGGTAGCAAAGTATTACAGAACTTCCAATTATCATCAGCGAAACTTGCGGGCTATGTAGATAACCCTTGTTATGCGAGTGCCGAACACGAAAAGGGCCGGGAAACACCGTGAGTTTACAACTACAGAATTTCGGCAATAATGTGGGGTTTTTAGGTGCCGACCTTGTTAGGTTACGGGCCGCGGCCCCCGGGCACCGTTGAAATATGTATTACCAAGTACAAACAAAACTTACCTATTTATTCCCATTTGAAGAGAGCACCCGTGCTTCAAATTTGTTTCTCTTCCATCCATTGTTCTTGTCAGCACAAGGAAACAACATAGTTCGAGCGAAGTATAACACAGAAACAAAGACAAAAACGCTCAGAGCGCGCGCAAAGACAAGACACAAGACAGTCGGAAAGAGGAGCCAACTAAATAACACCAAAATGCTCCCAACCAAACCCGGGGGCGGTTTATTTGAACGGTCGTCCGCGCCAGCTCACGCTAGCCCCTCATTGGCCGGCGCTGATGGCGGGGCGCGGGGAGGACGGGGGACGTACACTGTCCCAAAAAACAACGGCAAATCCAGTTAATTTTTATGCAGCTTTTACCGTATTTCCCTTTTAACTGGATTCACCGTACTTCCTGACAAGATTCACCGTACTGCCAGAGACAGGATCCACCGTACCCCATTTTGCCCCCCAGGGTCAATAATGTCATGAAAAAGGGAAAATGAATAGTCTCGCAGGGGGTGAGGGGGTCTGTGACTGAAGGGAACGGCAAGAGCCATGGCTAAATCTCACACTGACTGTGGACAGCGGGATCTTTGTCTAAATAGAGAAGCTGATGTCGCTTACCAACTGTTTACCCTGGAGCAAAGGAGCTGCAGCAGGGACAGGAAGGATGAGCCTTGTTGTCTGCATGCCCTATCCCATAGGCACTTCTTGATGGAATACGCTTCAGCAACTTGTTCATACGTTTCATGTTTGAAAGATCAACTCAGGCTGAATGAGAGTGAAGTTTCTCCACACATTTACACATTTACACATTTCGTCCACCAACATAAGCGAATATGAAACTTTCACTGTAGTCCACAATGATTGTGCCACCACAAAGATGGTAGAAATGAAGGTTAGAGGCGTCCAAGTGTTTTCGCACTGATTGACCGACAACACACCGTAATGGCACATCCTCGTTTCCATTGTTGTTCCTGCAGCGGGCCGCAATGGATTGGTGGTGAAGACAGTCCATGACACACTCATGTTCTCAAAGCATTTACTGAAAATTAGTCGAGGATTGAGAAAGTTTAGCAAGATGCAAACTGTTTTGCTGTTGCAGCAAAAAACAATCTACTTTCCTTTGTTTGTGATGTTTTTGTTTTCTTTCCACAGTACCAACCCTTCGCTACCAACTGCGAGTTCGAGAATTAGATATTTTTGTGGGAATAATTAACAGCCTGTGCATATCAGGACCAGAAAAGCGGCGTGCGCGAACCCTCTCCGCTGCACAGAGAGTTTAGGACTCAAAATGTTGAAAAGTAAAAGTAGTTTCTTTAGTGGCATTTTACTCTGCCAATAACGTGCAGCCCGCCAGCGACGAGCAGACGACGGGCTTGTTGCTGGGCAGGCCGTCGCTGTTGTTTGTTGTCTGGCCCGCACGGGTTTTTTTTTTTTAACGAAAAGTACATCAGATTTGTGGTATGGATCGGATGTGAGGTAGTTTTCGGTAATAATCTACCTTACTGATCCCGTATGCCCGTTTTTAGGGGTTTTTTCAGAAGGTTAGGCCCGTCAGTGTCGGCATCTTTCGTGCCCGTGGTGCGTTCATCCATGGTTCAACATGAATCGGTTACCTTTGCATTTCGCGCGGTAGAACGTAAGTTTGTCCCGCATTTAAAAAAAAAAAATCACGTGAATTGCTTTGCTTTTGAATGGCACTCCGGAGGCGAATATGTTCTATATCGCCTTTGTGATGTTACCATAGCACTGCTATTCCAAGCATCCCTTTCGTCACACTGTCTTTCTTGCACTGGGCAGCCAGCAGCCGTCTCGTGTGAGTGCGAGAGAGAGGGACGAAACGGTGTACAGATTCAGTCTGCTGGCCCCAGCCCCAGGCTCATTAGTTATTGCAACCTCCTGCCTTGCTTTTCTTCTCAAGTTTTACATTTAACCTGTCAGAAGCATTAACAAGCTGCATTATTTTTGCTTTGTTCACTGTTTGTTTGTTTGTGAGGCCCTTATGTTGTGACTAATGCTTTGTTGTGTGTGTGTCAATACAGGTTGAAGTAGGAGAGTGTGTAGTCAGGACCCAGTGATGTTGAGCGGAAACCGTCTTGCTGGGAAGGTGGTCCTGGTCCAGCGTTCAGGAGAGCTGATGTGCCGTCATCCTTTGTAACCCCGCTGAGTGGGTAAGTTCGTTCCTTTTCAACGGTAGAAAAGACAGCTTTGATTTAAAACACTAATGTGTGTGCATATGTTTGTGAATTCAGGGTGTGGTTGGAGCACTTGAAAGCAGCATCATCTCTCTACAACCTGAAGCATCACCAGCGGTTGATCGATTGTTTCTGCTTCCCACATTCTGGACAGCGGGAAGAAGCAACAACTCTACAATTTTGTAGATTCTGCCACACATTCTGGAGAGCGGGAAGAAGCAACAACTCTACAATCTTGTAGATTCTGTCAGTGCAGTTAATTATCTGATGGCTTGTTTTCTTTGTGCCCAGTTCTTTTCCCTGCAGTTTTCTGCATGCAATAACCAATGAAGGTCAAGACTTAGACTGTATGATGGGCAAAACACTGGAGTAAAGACAAAGTCTTCAAAATGGATACCTTATCACTGTTTATTTGAGTGTATGAACAATTTGGTAATAATAATAGAATCTTTATTCAAATATTAGTTGTAGTCATCAAAGAGAATTGTCCTGCTGCTGCACTCTAAAATTTGGTAAATAACAATGTTTTTCTTTCATAAAATCCTAGTTCATTCTTTGTATGTCAGACTTAATCAATATAGTTCCTTAAAGTTAATGAAAACTGTAGTCTGACTTAAAAGATAAAAAAATATATACTATTCAAACTCTTAACAAAATACTTTCTTTTTCGGGCACGGCCTGGACGTACCCCCGTCGGGACGTTCCCCCCTGTTTTATTAGTATTTCTTACAATATATTTATTGAATATTTTTATTCGATGGATATTGTTATTAATTCTTTTCGAGTTGACAGAAAAAATCACCCCTCGTCCCAGGAATATTTTTTTCATACGTTTATGATAATCAAAATGTTCTCTTTTCTCGAGCTGCATGCGGAATTTGTAATGGTAGTGCGGGGTAGATGCGCATGCGGACCGACGGATGGCTTCCCTAAAACTCTGACACTAAAGGGTCCAACCTGTCTTAACCAAACCTAACGGGCTAGCGACAGATCTTATGCTACTCGCAACAGATCTTACGCTACTCACAACAGATCTTACGTCGTGACAGATCTTACTCTACTCACGACAGATCTTAATCTATTCCTGATAGATCTCATCTCGCGATTGATTTTAGTCTACTTCCAGCAGATCTGAAGTCGTGACAGGTCCTTCTCTACTCGCGACAGATCTTGGTCTACTCGTAACAGATCTTACACTGTTCGCGCCAGCTCTTCGTCTACTTGTGACAGACCCTTTCGAGAAACTCCGTATGTAGCTCATTAGAGAGAGGAAATATTTTGACTATCTAAAAAATATTCTTAAATATTTTTGGGACGACGGACGATTATATCTGTTTATTCCAGAGTGAATTAAAATAATATCCACCCAATATATTTATTCATTAAAAATATTGTATGAAATACTATAAAACAGGGGGAACGTCCCGACGGGGGTACGTCCCGACGTTTCCCTCTTTTTCTTTCGGTAATTAAGTAATTTACTAAGTTAATTTTGTAATTTCGTGTTAAAAAAGTAGGCAATAAAATTTTTGGTCTGGCCTAACTGTTACAATAATGTTTTGATAATTTAGTGGAAAACTTGCCAATGGCGTTGACTAGCCTTGTCACTGAAGCCGACATTGTTAGCACTGGAGCTGATCGTCTTGTATGCTCACCTCCAAGCCGGCAAATTACTCTGGAATGATTCACACAAAAATCTCATAATAGTTTACTTTCTTTGTTACTTAAATTGTTGAATCTCTAGTATTATCATTTTTAAAAAATTGTTACCTCTCTATAAATTCAAATGTGAATTTTAGCTCTTTTGGATAATGAGCATCAAAAATAAAAGCTGTCTGCATCAAGCCCAAAGTGGCATCTGTGCTATTATCAGTAGTGAGCACTACCTCTCTGTCGAGGCACACATAAAATTTCTCGGCTGTGTATTTGTCGGTATCTGGAAAAAATATAGTGCGGATCAATCAATGACCTTCTAAGAAATGTCAATGTTTCTGTACTAAAATAAATAATACTTTACCAAGAACTATTATAGTAAGCTCTCCTGTTAGATTGGGCACACATGTCACCAAGTCATATTCTGGACTGGTTCTCTGCAGAAAACAAAGGTTTAGATTTTGCTTATGTATGCAAAGTGTTACAAGCTGGATTGGTCTTACCTCAGCAGTTTTTATCAAGGCCTCTGTCTTTTCATTAAAGTAATTTGCAAGCATTTGGATTGTTAAAAGAAGCATCACTTTGGGGTTTTTGCCTGAATCCTCCCATTTCCAATACTCAGCAACATTCTGTATCCCACTTTCAGAGGAATTGTTTGCAAGATATTGGAGAAGTAGTCTTAAGTGATTCTCGCTATAGTCCTGCATTGGAATCCCTAGATTCTGGCCACAGAGTCGCAAGAAATGAAGTGACTGCCACCTTAGTTCAAAAAGAAATGGCCAAGCTGATTTAAGTTTTGCCATTTCATTTACACCATCTGGGTAGAAAAATAATTATTAGTTTTATCTGAATGGCAGTTCCTATGCTTTAATCTATCAAATCATGGTTAATGATTTTACCTGGATCATCCTGCTTCTTGTCCGATATCTTCTTCAGAGCTGCCGTAATGTCCTTCCTTTGGAGCTCATAGCTCTGGTGCATTAGTTTTGTAATGACTGTAGTGTCCATATTTTTTGTCCTCATGGTGCGAGACATGGTTTGAAGAGTCATTTGATGATCCTCTTGGGTGTATTGCATGTCCTCTGTTACTTCAGGATTGTACTCCTGGGCAATAACACCTGGTGTACCTTTGGTTTGGACTGCACGACGGGAAGGACGAATAAGGGGACCCTGGTCAGGTTCTTTTGCCCTTCGACCTTTGTTCTCCATAGAAATGCTAAAAGTATTC